CACACAGACAGGGTCGTCCCAATATGCGTTTTTGCAATTTGCATATAGGCAAAAACGCAAAAAAAGAATCGAGCTTCATGCAAAAACTGGTAATCATGTACCTGCATGTCCATGCGGCTCTATAAAGCAACACCCTCATCCCTACCGATGCCTATTCTGCTGCATGCTGGAATAAACCAACGCATGGCCAGTATGAGCCCAAGTGTTTGGCTGCAGCGCAGGGATTATTCCTGCTATTAGCGACCCACGAGTTTAGTGCAAAAACGCATGATCGCACCCGCAAGCCTGGTGCGTTCCAGCCTGGGTTTTTGCTGGTTGCAGTGTTTTATGCCTACTGAAAGCTGAAACAGTGCTGCAGCTCATTATATGTTTTTCTCGCATTTATCAAACACGAAAATGACAGGACTTTGTTATATCATTTTTGAGAGTAAAAACAGATTTGGAGCTTGCATACAAATATCTTCCCTCATACCTCCATAATGTGTCTCTGAATATTGGTCATTGTGGACAAAATCGTGCCAAAAAAGCGCATGTTCTTGTCGATCTCCTAGCTGATACAATTCAATTTGTGAGCTGCCTCTACATCACAGAGTAATGCTGCATTGTTTCTGAGTTACGATACTCATTTGTTTTAAGGACTGTTTGGGATTCGATATGATTTTTGAGTGAGGAATTTTTATTTTGGACATTTGCTTGCAGCGGAAGTTTGCACAAAGTGTGGTGGCGTTGCATGGAGAATGGACGAGCAGTGCAGGGAGGGTGATATGACCGCTGATCCATCGGACTGCACCAGTTACGCATTCTGCGAAAGTGGACAGTGGCGAACTGCTCGTTGCAGGCATGGCCTGTTTTGGAACCAGCATCTTCGTCAGTGCGATACGACCGGTGACTGTGAGGCGTTCAAGCGGGCGGACTGCATCCATGGACAGGTAAATGCGTAATGTTCTGGAACGGTGCATTTCTTTGATGCCATTGAACATCACCCACAGCACTGAGCATTTATGTGTTATCAGCGAACGGCAGAGGGATGTTAAGAAATAGCATATTGTGAGTGAACAATTTTGTACTTTGAATTAGCTCCAGTTCACAATCACAAAAAATCAAAAATACATGCACTGGCGGAAGGAGTATCCATGTAATGGCAGCCAGTAAAAGTATTTTGCATGTAACGCAAGGCACCTATAGGCCAGTCATCCAGCAGCTATTACAAAGTAGTTATCTGCACATTTTGATTTATATTGCATGGACGCTTGAGGCATATTGCACATATTGGTCGTTCATGATCGTTTTAATACAAGTAAATACAAATGCAGCATATATGTATTTTGTAGTTGCTTTTAACAGTGTTACATTGTTTGGTGGTCAGCCTACTGCTACTGAAAATTCGGAAGCCTCATGAAAAGCTTGAATTTTCTTGTTGCTTTACTGCGCGGATGATAACGAGAAATCTCTCGCATGTGCTCAAATCTCAGCCATTCTATTTTCGAGTCTCTTTTTTTATTTAGACTTCTTTCAATTTTTCTTCCATGTTAGAATGCCAGAAAGTGAGCCAAAAATAGGAAAAAAGCAGCAAAAATTTTAGGGATGATTTTTCAATTCTAAATGAAACTTTCGAAAGTCGTCAAAATTTTTAAACCTTTGAACTTCCTCACTCACAAAATCCGGTTCCTGCAAAAGTCGGCTGACAGAATTTTCTAAGTTATAGAGCAAAACCGAAATTATTGGATAAATTAAAATCTTATTTGTATAGACGTAGTTTCTTGCATTGTAATTAATTTTAAAATTCACCAGCTAATTTGTGCGCCATTATTATAGCGTTTGGTAGGTGCAACATGTGGCGAGTATTTGGAATGCATCCATGGATCCTGGATAACAATGCAATGCCTGTCAGGCTATGGCTTCGGTAATCCTCATTGCAACGATTTGCCCTCATGAGCAACCCAGTAGCTAATTTTATTTATTTAAATTTATTTTCAACTTAAAGATATCAATTCGATGCAGTGCGTAGCCTCCGAAAGATGTACTCCTTTGCAAGCTAATTATCTCAGCCTCCTGGATCACGAGATAACTGGCCCATCGCCGCTCTTTGAACAGTTGCCAGACCTCGATGACGATACATCACGTACGGTGCGCGCACCGCCAGAAGGGGAATCAGGAATAGTAAGTACTTTCTATGCATCGCATTTGCAACTGACTCTTCGTCCACTCCATTCCAGTCTAGCTCGCTGCCGCGAAATTTTGCTAAAGTTGAAAGCCAATTTTTTGCTCGCCTGAAATTTAATATTTTGCCCAAGAAATGTGTGTGCAGCAGCAACACCACTGGCATGGGATACTCATGCTGATAGTGCAGGCAGTCTTGGGGTTCTTGGTATGTTTGCATGTATGTTTTAGTATGCATACATACCTGTATTTTTGCATGCACGCTTGTTCATCTCTCCATTTTTCCCATAATTCCAATTTTTATGCGTTTTTTGCAGCAATGCAATGCGAAAAACGCATATTGACGAGAGGTTGTCTGT